CTCTCTCTCTCTCTCTCTCTCTCTCTCTCTCTCTCTCTCTCTCTCTCTCTCTCTCTGTGTCCAGTACTAACCTGTGAAGTTGGCACCTTGATGCAGGTACCACGAAGATGGAGCTGGAGCAATGGCGTCACAGGTAAGTATCACTGGCCTCCGCCAGTCTCTCTCTCACTCTATGATCTACCTCCTACTAGCGCCCAACGCTGAAGACTACAGCTACAGCTATGGCGCCCAGCGCCGAAGACTACAGCTAGCGCTAATACTACTAGCGCTGAAGACTACTGCAGCGCTCCTCCTGAGTGCTGCGGCCGAAATCCTGAAGACTACCCGTGCCTACTGAACTCTCCCTACCCGTGAAGTGCATGGGACTTCCTATGTACTACGGGTATGCCTCCTGAGCCTGTCGAAGGGAGGCAGGGGCTGCAGCTGCAGCTCGTGCTCAACTCGTGAGGAACAGGCTATTTCTGGCCTGTTCCGCATCCCTGTTTACGTGCCTGAGTCTTAGGGGCAGGTCGAAACAATGAGGGCCTGAAAATGACCCTCCGTTTCAGGCTGAAAACTCTGGGTCTTTTCGGCTGAAACGGGGTAGGGCCTGCAGGCCCTTGTTTTTCAGCATCCAGGCTGAAACGAACGGGGCCTGTAAGCCCTAGGTTTTAGGCCTTTAGGCTGAATGTCCGGGACGGGCCCTGCAGGGCCCGTGTGGCTACGCAGTATGCCACATCTGCAGTGAGCCGGGAGCTGAAGTGGGCAAGAGAGGAGGGGAGTAGCATAGCGATAAGGTAGATGCGGCCATAGCCGCCATAGTTAGAGTTAGTGTGCAGTGTGTGTGTGTGAGAGTTTAGAGAGATGTGTGTGGGATATCCACGGTGATCCCGAGACAGAGTGTGCGAACAGACAAGAGTGGGGTTGAACAGGCGCTGTGCGCCAAAGTTTGTATATGCGAGTTTGTATCTGAATTGAGTTCGAGTCTTCCATATCTCTAAGCTCTGAGTGGGCGCACTGCGCCAAAGCTGTTTGCCATCTGTTTGCATATATTTGAGTTGACGAATAAAGCAAGTCTGATTGCATTGGTATCGGAGCAGGTACCCGCTATTGCATGCGCTGTCGTGTGTAGGGGTTGACGCGCCATAGCAGAGGTGGCCGCCGATGGTTTAGTCTGCCATAGCGAGTCCGGAGGTGGAAGAAGCTGCCGCGCGCCTGAAGAAGAAGACCACGACAAAGAAGAAGACCAAGAGAGATAGAGAGAGAGAGAGAGAGAGAGAGAGAGAGAGAGAGAGAGAGAGAGAGATGAGCGATACAAGTTTGGTTGTCACTTACCAGTGAAGCGAAGACGTACAGTCCCACGTGGAGGAAGAAGAAGCGGCCATAGCCGCGGTGGTCCGGATTGACAAGGGGAATGTGAAGAAGAAGGTAGAAGAGGGAGAGACCGAGAAGGGTGAGAAGGAAGCCATAGCAGAGAGGTGAAGAGAAGGCCGATCAAAAAAAAAAAAAAAAAAAAGAGAAGAAGACAGCGGGGTGAAAGGAGGCGAGGAAGAAGAGAAAGGAGGTTGGCGAAGGTGGCAGTCATAGCCGGGCTTGGGGTCGACCAGAAGGGTTGACCAAAGTTGACCAAAGTTGACTGGGAGTTGACCAGGGGTTAGTTGCAGCGTTGACCAAGAGTTGACCAAGGCGTTGACCAAGACTGCTGACCACGAGTTTGACCAAGCTGGAGTTGGTATATTCTCGMCAAGCCTTCAGCCTATCCCCTCGCCCTATGGATGTGCACACACCCTATGGTACTTGCTGAGTCAAGTCTGTCTRTCTATTCTTTCTGCATCGAGTCTCTTYTGTYCTAGGTGATAGTAGTCTGTGGATGAAGGATAGGCCTTGCTGACCACTCCCCTACCGGATCTAGTAGGGCTGATACTGTGGCAGATCCAGCTGTCCAGGGGGGAATAACCATCCCAAGGATCGGTGCTGACCGGCTGGACACGGTTGGTATGACACGGTGGGCTCGAAAGACTGAGTTGTGGGCTGAAACAGAAGGCAGTCTTAAGTGTTGAGGGTCTTCTCAAATTTATTCCAAATTCATCCCCCTGAGGTACGATGAATAATGGAACGAAGGATTCAGGGGATCGTTTCCAGTACACGGAACCGGACGTGATGCCACGAAAAACCGAGTGCGTTGGCAAAGGCATCGATCGAATCTCGAGGTAGGCTACTTACTTCCTTGAAGGCATCGACCACTCGATGCAGGCTGTACGTCTGCTGTTACTACTACTTCCTTTCTCATGTATCTGCAACCCAGTGGTTATGATGTGCGCTGCAACCAATTGCCTTTTCTTCGCCATTTGTTTAAAGTAAATGACCGTTGAGGGGTTCGTGTCTTCGTTTATTGCTTGTGGTGGTTGATGGGGTTTAGATTTGTTTCTGCAGTGTAATTAGGTATTGTTCGGTAGTATTTGGGAAATCAATATATACTTCGAATCGTTGAAATACCTACGGCAGTATTTAGTAGTTTTCTTTCCTCCCCCTTTTAGGCGCAGTCATCCACATCCTTTTATGGGATTTTTCTTGGTCCTTCTATATGTGGCTGTTTCTACTAATATGGATTTGGATGGGTTAGTGTTTATTTGTTTGATATTTTTTGTGAGAAGGATGAACGGTGGCTTTGATTGGAAATGAAGGCAATCTGGTGTTAGTACTATGATCCCCGTGGAATTGCCAGTAGCGGCGCCACCTTGAGCAGTGAGAGTGTAACAAGGGGCGGTGGGAACGTTACTGTTTAGGAGGCACGTGAGCACCGGTGAAGGGCAAACTTGAGTTGTACCCATTGTGTCCGCTAAACCACGAAGGACCAAGGGTGCGTGGTGGGAAACCCGTCATGGCAGCTCAGGCTCTTTGCAGGGTGTTGGAACAGTGTGGGTGAAAGGGTAGCGCTGTCTCGCCGATTTTCGGTATTTGGATAGTTATAAAGCCCTGAAGCCCGTTGGGGTGACGGCGCCACAAGTGGGAGTGCGAGACTCACTAGTGGTGGTGGGATCGTTTCCTATGTGTGAGGGTAAAATAATTGCCATCTATCGTTTGCTGTGGTTTTCATATCTGAGTGAGACTCATAACTTTTTGTTATTTTCAAGTGTTGGGGTATAGTTGTAGCAGTCTAGGGGGACACTCCCAGGATTCGGATGATATGAGAGACCCGGTGAAGAGCAAACTAGAGTTCTATCCATTGGGTGCGTGGTGGGAAACCCGTCTAGGCAACAAAGACTCTTTACAGCGTTTTGGACAGTGAGGTCAAGAGTATCCCTAATGTCTACTCCTCCCACCCAGTTCTTAGTCATCGAGTCCCCTTTTCCTTGTAGTTTGAGAGATCGTGGAAGCCGAATGGTTTGTCTTCCCTCCCAGTTCTTAGCCTTTGATTCTCTTTCTCCTTGTAGTTCGATAGATCGTGGAAACTGGATTGATTGTTTTTAATCTATTATTTTCCTGATATTAGTATATTTAGTTTAAAATTTAGTGAGTTCTCGCCTTGAAAATTTAGAGGTGAATTGTATTGGAGAATTGACCCTGCTTTTGGAAATAATTTTAGGGTTAATCTGCATAATGGTCGTGAATTGCCTTGTGCCTCCTCGAGATTTGCTGAAAATAGTTTGTTGTTCCCTGCCATTAGTCCTTCGATTTTAGAAACACGACGGCACTTTTTTGAGATTGGTTGGAGGCGCTATGATTATTGCAGCCACCTTTTTCTGTGCTTCATGATTATTTTGTGGCTTGTTGGACTGAAGAAAGTTGAAGTAGATAGGAACTCAGACAGGGGGGTTTTAACTCTGAGTTATATTTGCCAATTCATGGCTCGGAAGAAGAGATTAGATAATCTGCTTGGTAGAAGTTTTTCATCCTTTTTTTTTTTTTTTTTTTTGGAGTACTTTAGATGAGGGACACTGGACCCGGTTTCCAGAAGCCCACAGCTGGGTAATGGCCCGAGCACGTTTGATGTACCGGGTTGTATTGTCGAGGTGTATTCCCGGGCCTCTGTCGGCCGCGAGATTGTGGTTTGTTCATAGGGATTTACAATCAATAAGTGCGACTTCTTTTTTCCTGTGCATTTGCATGGTTCACCGAGTGTGCCGATTGGTGTATCTGCTTTCTCGCGGTTCTCACGCGTAGGCAGTCCTGCCGGACTGTCCTTATCTTCTCTTCCTCTGCAGGCATCCAAAGACTACGGTAGTTTTGCTGTGTGACCGCACAAGTTGGCAATTTCTGGGCGATTTCGCAATTGGCAGGGCGTGGGGGCGTTGTATTTTCAATTTTGCTACCCCTGGGGCTCGGACCCACTAGCCAAGTCTTTGACGTCGTTGTTAGGATTTCGATCGCGTGTGGCATCCAGTAACGCATGACAGCCGTGGATGGCATCCCGTATCGACGGAGGCCATTTTCGAGGTACGGACATTGTGTGGCCTCACAGTTTCCACCAATTGGTGGCCGTTTCGTGAAGAGGACATGAATTTTTTTTATTTTTTTTTTCGGTATCGTAGTCTCGTTCTTAAGACTTCGAAGGGAAGGTGCGTTTTCAAGACTTCGCCGAGGCCGTCCTCTTCGAAGAAACTAAAAGTTTTCGGTCGTCTGACACCCATACAACCCGGCCGGAATTATGATGAAGTTCCAGCAAGGCCGAACGAATACGCTCTCAATGTTGGCCACATCCATTCATTTGTTGTGTACCTGGTCCCACATCCGGATCGGATTCCTTCCCCACGTGTGAGTGTAGGCCGCTTTGTGTACCGCACCGAAATCATAGAACTTTCCCGAAATGGAAAACTTCGCCCAAGTGGAAACGGGCTGTGTGGGTCCGCACACATTTTTYTGTGTAGTGCTCCATTCCGTTCCRTTCCGTGAGTGGCAGTTCTTGTGTACCGTACRAGTGGGAGAACTGCAACGCCCATCRTTCGTCGTTTTCCTCTTCATTGGCATTTCTTCGCTGTTACTTGCTGTTGACGCCATCGCTGGAAAAGTGCTGTCTTGGTCCCACTCCAACACGCAATGGGTTCCACGAATGAGCCTGCTGGACTGTCCTGTATTCAGGACTGGGCCTTTTTTGAGTCCCAGTTTGGGACTTCATGCTCAGACCCACAAGTAATGCCCCCTCTTGGGCACGGCCTTGGATCCTTTCCCTCCGCAGGTCAGTATCATGGAGGGGTGAATGGAGAATTCCGTGGGACAGCATCACAAGCAGATGAAGATGACACTTTCGACCCTTACCTGCTCGTCCCTCCGCCGACGGTCCCACTTCCGGACGACTGTCCAGATCTTTGAAGTTTGACGGCACAGCTTCATTCGTGGGTGCTAAGCTGGCTGGCGGTGGCAGCCAACGTGGATGTTTGCCATCTGAGTCGAGTCTCGTACCTGGCATCAGGTACGGGGTTGATGGGCAAGACGAGAATTCGCTGAGGATGCAGTTGAGGATGCGTGCTATGGCCATGACAGAGGGGCAAAGTCAGCAAGGGGTGGCGCGTGCGAAGGAGCATTCCGGGCCCATTCCGTCACCCATGTCGTGCCATGGATGTCCTACCGCATCTGATGAATCGGCCACACAGCCTGGCATGCAATCCGATCCACCACGCAGTTCAAGTGTGAACTTCGACGGAGCRGCCTGTCCTGTGCCGCATACACCGCCCTCCAATTACATCCTAAATCAATTGGTGCGCGATATCGAAGGCGGGGTGTTCCAAGGTGAGGGTTGTGAACCGCCTCCACCCAGCGGCGCTGTGACTCCCCCTTCGGCTCCCCCTGTGCACACACCTCCGACCGCTGTGACACCGGAGCATGCTAGTAATGCACAGGGGGCGACCCCTCGACCGGGGGAGGGCGCCTTCGAAGGAGAAGGAAGTGTTGGGGGTGGAGGGAACAGGTCTTCCCCCGAGGGGATAGGTCGGCATGGAAATGTCAGGCCAGCAGATGCTGCTAAGAATAGTGAGAGGTGGGGGGAGGACGAGACAACAGTGTTGTGTCGGGCGCGGAACGAAGCGAAGGAGGTTTTGGGTGACGATACGGAGGCCATGGGGAGGGCACGTGTGAAGGCCGGCTTCTGGAAGATGGTTGCTGATCGTATGTGGGAGAAAGGTTTTAATCGTATGTGGGAGAATCGATTGTTCCTCCCGGAACAGTACTCATCCCCATCTCTTGTCTTCGGTTTGTCGACGTTCACGTGTGTGCAGTCAATACACCCCCAACAGTTAGGGAATCCCAGTGTCTTGAACTCCTGCATGCGAGCATGGCGTTCAGCATGCCCCCCAAAACGCACTGCATTCGGGGACGAATCGATGATCGCCTGTGCGACCTCGCGGACGGCGCGCAGACCGCTTGTTTTCCCCAAACCGTAACCGGAACAGCTGTGCCAGTGGTGATCACCATGGGCCCACCTGTGGATGGCATATGCCAATTTTTGTGCAGGCGGCAACGGCACACGGAACCTTGTGACCTGCTTCTCTAGAAGCGGGCCGACCTTCCGCAGCAACCTGTTGAATGTCGAACGACGCATACGAATGAGAGAAACGTAATGGTCATTCTCTGCGTCGTCTTCGGGAAGCAGGTCCTTCCAAAGCCTGCCACTTCGACGCATTACCCACCACCTTGGCGAGGCTTTGGGCATGAGATTGAGCATGTCCACAATGGCAGGCCATAGCCACATGAGACTGTGCTTGCCGGGCCTGCCATCATCCTCATCGTCATGGGCCCCACCAAGCAACGCGTGAGATGCAGGGACTGAAGCAAGCAAATCGGTCGTTGAATGACCAAGGATGACATCCACCATGGCCATGGCGTCTTCTGCCATGCGGCCTGCTATGGCCATGGCGGTCACAGCCACTCTCTCCCGTTCTCTCCTCTTCAGCCTCGGCATTGCTACACGGCATACACGCACAGTTTGAACTCCAAATGCAGTTGAGGATGCTATTTTTTTTTTTGCCTCGTGTGGCCAGCAAGAAAACAAGCACCCCCCC